CCACAGCTACCGCAAAGCCACATAACCCGCACTCACACGGAAAAAACACCGGAAAAAAAAAATAAAAATAAAAAAAAATAAAAAAAATCTGACAATAATACTGTTTCGTACTCGTTGTCTCGTACTCGTCTTATTCCCCCTCCGTCATCCGCGACGGATCACGAAAACGGCCGAAGGACCAAAACGTAGGTCTGCTGCGCATTGGCGCGCCGCGCATCTCAACACAAGAAATCATCATGGCTGCCGATCCGTCGTCACGAATACACGTGTCCTTGCATTATCGCGTCGAGCGTCGAACAACGTGAAAAAGGGTGCACCACTGTCACGCGAATATTACTACGACCGCCCGTACGAGGTGAATAGTTATTAAAGCAGAGAAACCACGCATTATTTCTCGACCACGTCCCCGCGACGCAATGTTACCGCGAGAACAACGTGGAAACCAGCCCGTTAAGCAAGCAGGCCATCTCGGCTCGCACTACGAGCAAACAAATACCGCTCTATCGACCATACTTATATAGGCTGCGGTCCGATTCACGCCCATAGCGCTCACGGTTCTCACGACATTAATGATCGGTCCGATTTGTTAGGGTCCGCGCACAAAGATGATCGCAACTGAGTCGTAATCGTAAGTCGTTGTCGTAGGTCAACGCACAAGGATTTTACGTATGTCGTTTACGTATATCCTATTCATATTGCATCAGTCGAGAGCTTGTGGTATAATAATACCACAGCGGTACTTTGTCGAGAGTTCTCTTGTGAACGGTAAGTGATATGATTATACATCATGCACATAGTTCTTTTAAATATTTTAACACTTGGGACATGTATACCAATTGTGAATGTATAACAAAATAATGTGTAATCTCGAAATGGTTAAAACCATAACCTTATTTATATATTAAATCTGTTATACATGAATTGAATCTTTATTCCTAATTTTTTTATTTTTTTTAATATCTTTTATTTATTTCTGTTGCTAATATTTCCTCTAATGCGTTCAGGGCCTTTATACTCTTTTACAATGTATGCTTTTGGGAGCTTTCCAGTAAGGAACAAATATCAACAAAGGAATACTCTATCTTTGTCTTTTACTGAATATCAAAACAAAAACAGAATAACTCCCATGTCAATTTGTGTACTGCTGAAAAGATTCCTTTATATTAGCAATTTTATTTATTTATAATGTAAATTTTGTCGATTTGCTATAGTAAATTTTATAATTTTATTACTCTCTCTTAGTAAATTTATTTGAATATATGTGATAAAACGTTACCTGTTTATTTATCTGACTCTTACTTGCCCTCTTACATTACACAATTGTATTTTATTTATAATTTTGCTGTGTGATGATACAGTTCTTTAAATCCACCTAATGTTTTCACGATTAATGTTCTTCTGATAATTAGTATAACGTTTTTCTTATTACATAAACAATTATTTGATAAAAAGAATTTACTTTTTCAGGCTTTAAATAATACTGGAAGTTAATCAGAAAATGGAAGATCATCATTATACCTGTTCATATGATACTTATACAGATAATTCAGCAATTACAGATATTGAAAAGACAGATTTAGAATCTGCAGATGTAGAATGTGTATCTGTACTTGAAAATATTGCAATTGAAGAAAAAGAGGGCGATGATTTTCTGATTGGGTTATATAGGGAACGAAAATTTTTATATGATAAAAGTCATCGGGATTTCAAAAATAAGCAAATAAAAGAAAATGCTTGGCTTGAAATTTCTACTGTCATGTGCAACAGAAAAACTTAGGTTATCATATTTTCACTATGTGAATATAATATAATTATATTAATATGACAGATATTTTTGAATTTTTTGTTTCTATGAGTAATTAAATTGATATTTATTAGAATTTTTTTATTTTTGTAGGTAAACATTACACACCTGAATATTGTCAAACAAGATGCACTTCTTTAAGGGATCAATATAGCCGTGAAAAAAGAAGTATTAAAGATGAATACAAAAGTGGAAGTGATTGCTCAAAACGCAAAACATTTCCATTTTTTACTCAATTATCTTTTCTTGACAATTTTATTAAAAGAAGAAGATAAATAGAATTATATAATAAAACTATAAGTTAGAATAAAGCTAAAAAAACTGGTTACAAAGAACAAATAATTCTTTGAAAATTGAGAATTTTAAAGAAATATTTTGTTATTTATAGAACTTTTTCCAACATTGAAAGAAAAAAGAATACACTTCAATCCTTAAAAGATACAGAAGCAATACATGAAAAGGATAATAATAACGGGTCTGCTGAGAAATTGGCATCTGAACGGCAAGATACTATTAAAGTATCTCAGAAAAGAAACATTAGTGCATGTCTAGATGCAGTTCAAGATACGGCAAATGTTCAACAAGATCATAATAAAAAAGGAAACATTCCAAGGTTTAAAAGAAGCAAAATAGATGAATCAAGAAATATGGATGATGCATTCACAAACATCAGTAACGCAGTTATCAATTTTCTGGAAAACACAAAGAAAATACTACAACTAATGTAAAAACAGTTGATCAGTCATTTGTCGATTATATTCGCGTGCGTTTAGAAAATATTCCAGAACCCGAAAAATCTGCAAGAAAAAAGTTGTTATTTGATGCTCTTACTGCATCATTACCCAAAACGTAATAAGAAATATATTGTATTTTTTCACTTCTTTCACATAAATATTTAGTTTTATGATTCAAATACTCTATATGTTTAGAAAAATAAGTTGTTTCTATTATAAAAAATATAATGAAATTTGTTTTGATGCAGAATTTTATTTTGTTGTTGTACAAACTGCAGAATTTTATTTTATTGTTGTTTACAATTACAACTCTAATTTGCAGAGTCCTTTTGTTCATTGCATCAATTTTTAATATTACTACACGTTTATTTTGAAATATACATTTTCAATATACTTAATATTGTATTTCTTCTTATTATAATAATTACATATTTTTTAAATTTAAAATTAAATATCTGTAAAACTACTGCAATATTCAGTTAATAACACTATTTTAATGTACTAAAGTATTATTAGAAAAAATATATTAACTATTTATTCTATATCTTTTGTTATTATTATTTTTTATTTATACAGATGTCCTTTCTTCACCCATCACAAATGTGAAATATTGGTGAAACGGTTATTTTATCATTTGGCTGCTATACTTCAATAATTGCATTTAAAAATAATATTAAGTAAGTGAAAATATTTTAATAAATCCGAATTATTACAAATAATAAATGGATGTTTATTTACATGCAAGACTTAATTTTTTTACTAAACATTTTAGGGTTATAAGTTCAAAAAACTAGATTGTATATTTATATGCAAAAATATGGTTCTTTAATTACTCTATCATGTAATACAAAAAATAATAAACATACATTATGGTATCGCAAGTTAACGCTTTGTGCTTTGTACTGTAATAAATATAACATTTTTATTATACAAACTCATTGTATTATGTTATCTTCTCCATATAAACCTCTTTTTACAAAATCATATTGCCATTTTACTTCACCTGCAGGAGTAATAAAATAATTACATAATAAGTCTCTTTGTGCCAAACCTGCACGGGTATTTAAACTTTGTAAATTTTCACTTGGTAACCATTGTGTATTTCTACACATACATTTATCATTATGTAAGAATTCTTGGCTATAAGTTTTTTCTCCACTTTTTTCTTCTTCAGTCATAATAAAATTATGCAAACAAACACAAGCTGTTACTATTATATCTGCTGTTTTAGGTAACACACATAAAGCTTTATGAAATATTTGAAACTTATTAGCATATATTCCATAAGTACTTTCTATTGATCGTCTAACGCTTGAAAGTCTGTAGTTGAAGATTTTTTTTTTATTTGATAACTGTTTGCCAGAATATGGTTTCATTATTTTGATTGAAAGTGGAAAAGCATCATCTGCTACGAAAAATCCATATATCATAATATCAGAGCCAGGTAATGCAGCTATATCCTTTGGGAAATTAAGATCATTATTTTTCAAACTCACACCTATTTCAGAGTTTGCAAAAATACCTCCATCACTATTGCCTCCGTAGGCTCCTATGCCCACTAGAGTGAACTTATATCTATAATCAGCTACTGCCATTAATACTATACTGTGTTGTTTTTTATAATTATAGTAAGAACTTCCAGAATTAGGTGGACATTTCAGCATGATGTGCTTGCCATCGATTACTCCAAAACAATTAGGCATGTGCCATCTGTTCCAATAATTAAAAGCAATATGGATCCATTCTTCTTTTGTTGGTGGAGAGAGATATAATGACTGCGCAAAATTTTTATTTAATTTACTGTAATAGAGCATACTTCTTTATTGACCATTCTGACTGTAGATTCTCCTACTCGAAAATCTAGAGCAATAGATGATGTTTGGTCTCCAGTTCCAAAAAATCTATAATAGTAAAAAAAGTAATATTTTTCATTAAGAAGTTATATAAGAAAATATATACAAGTTACTTTCTCTCCCAAAAACAAAAGAACATTATACCCAATCTCAATTTTCACTTTGGTCAGATCAGATTAAACTTTTGTGATATAAAATCGAAACTAATTATGTCTCATACAACAAATTTATGTTCAAATTTTATGTGCAATTTTCACTACTGTGAGTTCTCCAGCAAGAGATAATATAATCAACACAAAAGTCATTCTGTCTTTGTTTGATATTCAGTGAGAGACAAAGACATAATAAACATGCATCGATTTGTCTCTTGCTGGAACGTTCTCTATATAATGTAATAAACAATATATAAATTATACCTTAAAGCGATAAGCAATCTGTGTTCTGGAGATAATGCTCTACAACTTTGCTTCATCAGATAAGGTTGCAATAGTTGAAGTAATCTTTCAAAACTCTGGTGTGACATTCTTGTATAGCGAAAAAACATGGTCTCATCGTTTTTTAATTCTTGAAAAAGATTTGTATAATGACCTAATTGCTGTCTTAATTTGTTGATTGGTCTTGTATGTCATTTTCTATTTATCCATCTCTTATGCACATTTAATTTTTTTTTTTCAAATAATAACAACACGAGAGAAGCCAGTACAAAATAAGAATAACTTTTTTTGATGGCATGATTTTGATTTCATATATCTGTAATACATATTTGTATATACATCTGTATATACAATCTGTATATACATATTTGAATTATATAAAAAATATATATATTTATTCATTGAAAAATAATTACATAAATAATATAATATATTTGGAAAAAAACATGATCTTTGATATACTTTTAAATGCAATAATTTATTATGATAATATAAAAATTTTAAGTCATGTTAGTTTTATTTAGTAATTATTATATAGGACTATTTTGTTTATTCTGTATTATTTACATATTCACAATTCATGTCAATTGAAAGTATTATAATTTTTAATATGAAAAAATTTTTAATTTGAAATAATTATATAATATAATCATATCACTCACCGTTTATGATGTAGAGTTCTCAGTCTAAAATAGTGTGAACTAAAATACACACGTTTTATGCAAAATCCTTCTTATGCAATAAGTATGTAAAAAAAAGTCATTTCTTGTATGATACCTTTAATATTAAAAATTAGGCATATTATAGAAATGTTAAACGAATTTGAGGAATCGTATATCATTATGCAACACAAAATTATAAATAAAAAAAATTATTACTAATATAAAATCATATATTATAAAAAAAGCAAAAATTGTTACATACATATAAAGACTGAGCGCGAAAGAGATGTTAATACAATTAATGTATGAAGGATTTAATATATAAGATTATGGTTTTAACCATTTCGAGATTACACATTATTTTGTTATACATGTCCCAAGTGTTAAAATATTTAAAAGAACTATGTGCATGATGTATAATCATATCACTTACCGTTCACAAGAGAACTCTCGACAAAGTACCGCTGTGGTATTATTATACCACAAGCTCTCGACTGATGCAATAGGATATACGTAAATGACATACGTAAAATCATTGTGCGTTGACCTACGACGACTTACGACTACGACTCAGTTGCGACCATCTTTGTGCGCGGACCCTTAGCATGTTAACGATGATTTTATTTCGGACCGTCTGTGGATACAATCACGAGACCCATAACCTGTATATTATACTTGTGAATAATGGCTATTCAACGTAAAGCTGCATTATTACAATTGATGGAAATTGTACTCGAGGATTCAGAAAATGACGAACAATCGATTCTTATAAATCAATCATCTTCAAGTGATGATGAAAACGAAGAGGAAGCTTTGAATTTATATGTAGCTTTGACTTTAAGCAAAAAGAGAAAGAAAATAGACAAAAGACCGCGTGTTGAAGGCTTTGTAGAAAGAATTATTCCAGGATATACGGCAAAAGAATTTAAAACACATTTTCGGTATGTTGTATTTATTTATATTGCTGTTATTATTCTAATAATAATATAACTCTTCTGTTGATTTTTGGAATTGGAATAGATTACTGCCTACAACCTTCGACTTTATTTTGAGGTTGATAGGTTCAAATTTAAATTCTACTTACAAATCAGTCGCAGGTAGGAAGCCTATACCAGCACAAAATCAATTGCTAATGGCTCTATGGATGATAGCTACACCCGACTCGTACAGGTTTATTATAATATATATACAGATATATATACATCTAGTATTTTTTGTAATTGTAAATGAAAACATTGAGAGAAACAAATTATAACTTTCAGATCAGTGTGTACTAAATTTGATTTGGGAAAAGCAACAGCAATTCGGGCTACCTACAATTACCAGCAATAAGAGCTAATTACCAGCAATTAGAGCTACCTACATCTATTTGTGCATAGAAAAAAAAACATGCATTATAATATACCTCAAAATATTGCCATGACTTTCGATCATTTCCAGACACACTATTGTGGTCTATGATTTTTTTAAACATCTTTTTCATACTATTCATTTTTGACTGACATTGTATGCCTGACGCTGTAAATTCTGGATTAACTTCATGTCGCTTGCAATGCTTTCTCAGATTTTAGAATGACGTTTTGTACCTGAAGAGAACTCATTCATTCGTTCCTCATATTTTTCCAAGAGCAAATATACGTTCTTTGAAGACCATAGAAATAAAGTTTTGTCATTTTCTATAAGAAATCCAAAAAATAATTTAATCAGAAGACAATAATAAAATTATTTAACACCATTAAGGGCATATTCTATAACTTTTAACGACTGCAACGATATCGTTACATTATCATTGCGCAGATTTTGTATATTGCAAAATAGCTGCGCAATAATAATTTAATGATATCGTTAGAGTCGTTAAGAGTTACAGAATGGATCCATTAATTTATACGCACCAGTTGATTCTTTGACATTTTGTGTCGATTTTACTGATTGTACATGTTTAGATGAGACATGCAAGGGATCTGTTTCTAAGACAGATGAACATGAAGCAGAAGATGTATCTTCATCAAGCATATAAGTATCAATTTCGTTATCCATGGTTTCATAAATCTGTAAAACTGATTTCTTTCGCCTTGCATTGTGTTGGTTTATTAATCTTAATACAAATGCATTATCTGTAAATTTATTATTCGAGAAAAGCAAAAATATTAAAATTACAATGAATTAACCTATAAATGTTAGTCTTATATCTTATATTTTCTTACCTTTAGTTGCTCTTTCAGCTTCTGCTGCCGTTAATTGAAGAATTATAGTCTCTTTAGTATCCTCAAGATAAATTTGGAATGGTATGCGAGTATCTGTCATTTTGGAAAGAACTGATACAAACGACGTTCGATGTTGTATAAATTTTTGTTGTCAAAAATGGATAATCGACGATTCTAACCTTGATTCAATCATTTTTATAATAATTATTAAAACAATTAATATTATTAATTATTATTATATTATTATCAATTACATTTAATTATTTTTATAAGCGATTATATGTATATATACTACGTACGTCGATGCATCTATTTCACATTAACAATTCATATTAGTCCTCTATTCCCGCGCAAATAAAGAGAACGCTCACGCCGACCCATCTCCGGATCATGGTCACCATGAGCATGTAAATTCAAAAATCCATGACGTCACTTTGCTCACGTAAAACGTTCAGGAATGAAACGGACCGATCGTGAGCATGTTGATGGCGCTGTAATCATGAATCGGACCGCGGCCATATTGTACCAACTTTGTGACACAATGGATAATTCGAGAAGAAGGATAGATACCTTCCTGAAAATGATGCTTTGTGAAACCAATTTAATATGATTCCGTTATTTTTTATTTCAATTGTAATGTCTACGAAGTTAATGCATTGTTTCTCCGCTAACTCCACAGTAAATCGTAGTCTCGAATGAATTTTATTAAATGTATCTAAGATATTGTTAAGGCTGTCTTTTGGAGCTGCCAACAGAATATCATCTACATATCGGTAATAGATTGGTAATACTACATCGATACTAGCAAGTGCCTTGTTTTTCAAGTCTTGCATGACAATATCTGCAATGATCAGTGACAATGGCGATCCCATAGGCACTCAAAAAATCTGTTTATATATCTTTCCTTCAAAAGTGAAAAAGGAAGATGACAATACAAATTTAGTAGCCAATATAAATTCTTCAATGGTTAAATTGGTTTCTTTACCCCGGATCTACAATAGGTGTTTTAAGCCTTAAGCCGTAAGAAATTGACCAATTACAGTCGAATCCGAGAAGAATAAGCGACTGTGATTCGTCCATTTCTTATGGTTTAAGGCTTAAAACCCTATTGTAGATCCGGACTTACCTATATCTACCCATCTATTCTTTATACCTAATAATGCCAGATCCAACGGAATATTAGTGAATAGTAAAGTCAATGATTTTCCATACCATATTTGGAAGAGATATCGAATAAATTCAAGAATGCAATTAATGGGGTTTGCCATAGGGTTTTTTAGTTTGAACAAATTGAATCAGTTTATTAAAGTTTATAAAGATTCTTTAAACAATTAATTAAAAAGGAATGTAGTCTACAAGATCAACTGTCGTGATTGCGGTGTTTCCTATGTGGGACAAACAGGGAGAAAATTAAAAACCAGACTTTCTGAACACAAAAAGCATATCCATAGTACATAAAACATCCACTCATTCAGTGATCACAGAACAGAGATTGCAAAACGATCATGACTTTGATTGGCAAAACATAAAGGTTTTGGATGTAAAAAATT